CTAGCTACGCAAACAGCCGCTTACAGTGATATTCCCGTCTCTGATTGGTCTGAGACACCTAAATCATTATCGGTCATATAGTATGCAAAGATGCTAGTAACCGTCTTATCGTCCAAAAATTGTTATAAATTCACTTCTATAAATTTAAATGATTTAACCTACTATAAAATTTTGTAATTAATAAATAGTTTATGCCATAAATATTTGAATATTTTTCATAAATGTTCATTCTTATTGAACTAACACGGATGACTTCTCGTGGCTACTGTTTTTTGCATCTACTTCGTCATATTTACTATTACACAGAAACGATCTTTTATTTAATTTTGCATAATATAAATGGCGCATCTACTACGTTAAGGTACTTTAAACAAATCAATAGAGACTATATCCCATGAGTTTTTATTGTAGTTTATTATGAAGCTTTTGTAGTTATCAGCTTTGTTGACAGCACCAAGTGCCCCAAAAATCGTCTGCTACCCCTCTCAATTTTCTCATTCACTCACCCCTTCAACACCTGTTGGATCTAGTGCTGCGAATCAGTCTGTTATGATAAAAAACAAGCGTACAAGTTCTTTCCCAGCACACTGAACAACCAACTTGGCCGAGGGTTGATGCCCCTGAAAATGGGGTCTCTATGTCTTGTACATGGTGCAGAAAATGTCCAGCTATTGCAGACAAAAGTAGCGCTTTTATATAGGAACCTCGATTTCAGGACAATCTAATAGAATTCCCATGAGTCCCCAAGTGCAATCAAGGCCTATGCTAGCGTCATTTGGCAGTTCTAAAAAGTGCAGAAGGTGGCACGATTTTAACCACATTGACACAATCCCCAAAATCATTAAAATCATGTGTTTCTTTTGCGTCAGCTTTCTAGCTTTCTCCTGAACATATGTCCAGGATGAAGTGTCTTTTCAACACATTTGCTGTTGCCAAACTAGGTAAATCTGCGAGTGATTTTGAACTTGTATGTTCATTCAAATGAAAAATGGTGTAGACATTGACCAAAATTATTTACACCAGTCAGTGTACCAACGCCATAGTCAGCGCTGTCTTGAAAGACAAATTATGGCTTCTCCTTTTGTAAGCATAATGCGAGATGGCAGCACTGATAAGGCAGTTGTTGAATAGATCATATATCTTCGATATTGTTGTCCGACGTCTTTCGAGAATCTAAAGTCAATGTCACCAAATGACCTTAGTCTTACATGTGCCAATTTTGATGGTGCTTTTGTAAACTTATAATAAGTTTAGTAAGGGAGAAGTTAAGGTCAGTAAAGAAACTTTTAAATGACTGGTCATTACATATAATCTTAAATAAAGGTAACTGTATTCAAAACTTTAACTTTGCCTATACTTATACAAACTCATACTGTTTTACCAGATCCATCTCCAAATATGTTTAGCGAAGATGTGTGTACAGTGACTACAATGAAGGCGGGCTTCGGGTACCCCATATCTTGTCTATGTGTCATGCTATGTATAGTGACTACAATGAAGGCGAGCTTCGGGTACCCCATATCTTGTCTATTTGTCCTGCTATGTATAGTGACTACAATGAAGGCGGGCTTCGGGTACCCCATATCTTGTCTATTTGTCCTGCTATGTATAGTGACTACAATGAAGGCGGGCTTCGGGTACCCCATATCTTGTATTTCTGTCATGCTATGTATAGTGACTACAATGAAGGCGGGCTTCGGGTACCCCATATCTTGTCTATTTGTCCTGCTATGTATAGTGACTACAATGAAGGCGGGCTTCGGGTACCCCATATCTTGTCTATTTGTCCTGCTATGTATAGTGACTACAATGAAGGCGGGCTTCGGGTACCCCATATCTTGTATTTCTGTCATGCTATGTATAGTGACTACAATGAAGGCGGGCTTCGGGTACCCCATATCTTGTCTTTCTGTCATGCTATGTATAGTGACTACAATGAAGGCGAGCTTAGGGTACCCCATATCTTGTCTTTCTGTCATGCTATGTATAGTGACTACAATGAAGGCGAGCTTCGGGTACCCCATATCCCATATCTTGTCTATTTGTCCTGCTATGTATAGTGACTACAATGAAGGCGGGCTTCGGGTACCCCATATCTTGTATTTCTGTCATGCTATGTATAGTGACTACAATGAAGGCGGGCTTCGGGTACCCCATATCTTGTCTATGTGTCATGCTATGTATAGTGACTACAATGAAGGCGGGCTTCGGGTACCCCATATCTTGTATTTCTGTCATGCTATGTATAGTGACTACAATGAAGGCGGTCTTCGGGTACTATATATCTTGTCTATGTGTCATGTTATGTATAGTGACTACAATGAAGGCGGGCTTCGGGTACCCCATATCTTGTCTATGTGTCATGCTATGTATAGTGACTACAATGAAGGCGGGCTTCGGGTACCCCATATCTTGTCTATGTGTCATGCTATGTATAGTGACTACAATGAAGGCGGGCTTCGGGTACCCCATATCTTGTCCATGTGTCATGCATGTAATTGATTCATATTGAGGGAATAAAACATTACAAATGAAAAAAGAAGTAAATATCTTTTGGAAAGAAATAATTACAACATGATCAGAAATAATCGGCGATACACTCCCCACAATCCCGAATGTCATAGTTTTCAATCAATTAAGTTATATAACTTGATAAAGATTGATGGAAAGATTGCGATGTATAAACATTGGTCTGATGAAGATGTTTTTTTCATAAAAATCTTGTTAGAAATAATATTTTTGATGATATGAAGAATTCTGAGATAGATATGATATACATATTAATTTTATAGAGTAATATGGTATTTTGAATGTCATTCTTAGGACATGGAAATTTACTTTACTTGAACATAATGAACATATTGACTTCAAACTCAATTTCTTAAAGAACATGATAAGCTGACAAAAGATGTTATAGATAAATACTAAAATCTATCTAGGAAATTCTTGTTAAAATTCAGAGTAAATGGCGAGGTGTTTTGCTTGTGAACCTTACAAAGGAAATGTTAAGTAAACACTGCATTACTTAGTTACATTACAGAGAATACAAAGTAACAAAATTTCCAGTTTAAAGTATTTCATAGAATTTCATTCAAAAAAACAAAATCAATGCATTTTAATTCAATCGAGACAGAAAGATGCTCCTTTTGCGAAGAGGGAAGAGAAACTTGATTACATTTAAAGTACGAAAGTTGTCAGGTTCAAACTAATTGCCATCTGTATTGAATATATTGAGATAAAAATGTAGAGTTACAGTATCCAGAGTAACACAAGTACTGTTTCGATTTCGGAACTGGAGTGAGATATGAATATTTTTTGGTATTAGTTTTAAAATACTATATACATATCTGTAAATTGAGGAAGGAAATCCCTAAAACAGACAAATGGAATACATATATTTGTTATGATAGACAATTTGAAGATAGTGTATAAGTTCATAATCATAACATATATATATATAATATGATAACTAGAAAATGGAATTTTAGTAAAAGATTACTGAATGATAATTTGTAATGGGTGAATTAAAACAAATTTATTTTCCTTACTCTAATTTAATTAAACACACAAAAAGAGTTTTTCATGTGGATATGTTGTCAATTGCTGGGAAAAATGTATCTACATTTATATGCTTCTCATAGGAATCCTTATATTGTATTCTAATTCTGTGCTCGAGCCTACTTCAATAATCTAATGTCAAAATTATACAATGTTGAAGTGAAATGTGACTTTAAAAATCCGAACAAAAGAACTAACTTTGTAACGAAATGTGATCACAAGAACCCCGAGAGGAATTAATTTCTGTGTTGTTAAGGACTGTGTAATTTGATAGATTTTGTGCTTGCACAATGTGGTGCTGAAATATTATTTCAATGATCGAGTGCTTGATTTGTGGAGTCTAGTGCTTGTAAAACAGATCAAATCACTCCAACGCGACTTTTCGAATATGTTTATTCATGCATAGTAAAATCATGCTGGTATGGTCTGTAGCTTGATAAATCGTTTCTAGTCGCGTATCCTCGTTTTATTACCATGCAGTAACATGTATTATTTATTTGTGCTTTGAATTTACACATGTGCAGGATGGAATGAATTGAAGTGAGTACAAATGTAGTTAATTGGTGTTTTTAATACGTGTTTTGTTATTTGGATGAACAAAAAATTAAACGAGAAAGTAGAAATTCATTTGTTTCAGCTAACATTAAATCACGCTGCTTGTACCACGTGTTATCGTAGCCGATACTTCGTGCAACAGTAATCAACGTCAGCAAACCTTATTTTGGACAATTTGTTTGAGTCGAAATTAGGATAAGTCGTAATTTTTTTCCACAGTCCTTGAATTTGGAGATAAAGTTTTGACTCTGTATTAAAATGTGACGTTTCCATTCAATACGACACCAAATAAACGTAAGAGATGACCTATCAGAAGCTATGGTGATACTACTAGATGACAAACAATGGTGACCTTCATGGGTAGAATAAAATGGACTTGTATTGGACATTATCTTATCTCGGAATTTGCTGTCAGATAGACCAGGAAAGTTTTATGTTACTGTTTTAGTAATTAATTGGTTCAAGATTTTATATATTCCTTCATGCCATCAGTAAATTGAACTTTCCAGTTAAGTTTAGGCAACTAATGGCTTCACAGTACACAAGCAGTCCACCTATAAATTCCACGGATACATACTTACACAAATATTTTTGGTGTAAGTACATAAAAAGCGATACGGCGATTGTAGCATATAGATTTGATTGAAACGAAAACTTACATGAAAATGACAAAAAATGGGCGTAGAGTTCACCTGATCACAGGTTTTATCGAATTGTGTCACTATAACAGTGAAGGGTGATGTGTCACTGTAACTGTCTATCTCAAATGAAGAGTTTTAACAATACCAGCGTCTTTTTTGACGGGGATGTGCTTCCACATTCTTATCTATGTAAAACTACTCAAGAAGTGAATGTTAATTAAACATTTGTTATCCTACTGTTTAGCTATGGACTTGTCAAGTATAACGGACAGTGAAGGAAACACAATGAAGTTTAGGCAGTACCAAGGGAGGAAATTTCACCCGAATATTGAAGAAAATGTCTCGCATCGAATACAGAGTATTTCATCGTTGAAAACTCGCCCAGACGATGTAATGCTTTGTACCTATCCGAAATCAGGTATGTATGATACTAATTATTCTTTTGCCTTACAAATGTGTTCATATATGGTACAGGAAATCCCGATGTTTTGTTTTTAGAGGAACGTTTCATAGATTATTTGACAGTAATTTAATGGTTGTACCAAAAGGTGTTGTGACTTTTCATGTTACTGTTTACGACGTACACTCTAGGACTACTTCTATTATTTTGTATTCGAATTACACTTATCATCATTGATATAATTGTTAGTAAAAGGACTTCAACATGGATCAAATCCATCATTTTAATTCATACTCGACGGAACAATTTTAAAACATTTGTCTTTCTCGACAACACGAGCCCTTAAACGTCACGTTTCCAAGGAAGAGAACTGGGTTGTGACAAGGAATCCATCAGACAATACCAAACTTTGAGGTTATCTAACACACGAGGAATTGGCTACAAATTATGTACACTTGCATATAAGTTCTTCTTTAAGCTTCTTTCATGAAACGATGTCATTAGTAGCAAGTCCTTAATTATCGAATTACTTACGATATATAGAAACTAATGGTGTTATATACGAAAAATGGGATAATACAATGAGACGATTGAAATCACGTTTTTCGTAAGTTATCTTTGTGTTGTTTCAAATGATCAATTATACATTAATGTTAGCGCCTAATGTAGAGAAATAGGAAACATCCATGATTTTGTATAGTTTAGTAAAGATATGTACGAATCACACCAAAAACTTGTTGCTGCTTAAATTCAAATCGTAGTTGATTTCCTTGGCAATGAAAATTATAAGTTTTCAGCTTAAATAAAGACATTTAACAGAGGTGATGTTTGCAAATGTTGTCTCGTCTTTTACATGTAATTGTAAATTGTCAAAACTTATTTCACTGTTCTTTGTTCTATAAACAGGAACTCACTGGGTTTTTAATATCATCCATATGCTACGCTCGCACAACCTTCAATACGTCGGATCACCAGATGTTCTTGAATATATAGACTTGGATAAAATGAATCTGAAGGACTCTCCTAGAACATACCACACGCACATGACCTTCCCTCTCATCCCCGAGGAAGCTAAGCAAGGGAAAATCAAAGTTATCCATGTTTTAAGAAACCCGAAAGATGTGCTGTGTTCATTCTACAATTATCAAAACAGGATGAATAACAAGCTGTTCCAAGGCACTTTTGATGGTTTCGTTAATTTCTTCCTGTCTGACGAGTGTGAGTTTCCAAGAATTCTAAACGGGTTCACAATTTATGGTGACAGAGTGAAGTGAAATTGAACAGTAAACTATAAAACAACAGTTTACATCATATATGTGATCACTTAATCAATAAAATCTATTAGAATACTGACATGTCCACAAAACCGTAATTCAAACAAATGAAGCTTAGGCAAAATATTAATCAAATAAAGATTTACTGTTAAGAATTACATGGAGGTTAAAACCAGGTAATTTGGAAGGGTTAGCATATTTTGCTTCATAAACACATCATAGGCAATTGGTATATGATAAGGACTAGACTTCTCATTAAGTTCTGAAGTCTGATTTCGTTCCTATTAACAATTGGCGCCGATTTTCAATTGAAGCTGAGACTGCCCCACATACCCATGATTCAGTATCTTGAACCATTTACAGGCCATGTGGAACTATTGAATCAGATTTCCAGTCTTTGTTATGAGCACAAATACATCGTTTTCTTGTTGCACGATGTTGACTCTAAATTCGACATGTCGCATATATTCAGAATTTAAATGATTGTTTTTTGTTGTTTTTTTTTGGACTGAAAAAAATGACCGACAGGCGATCATGATGAAACAGAAAGTTTAAGACCATTATTGCTATTTCTAAATAAAGATTTCCCATAATACTTTTGTTATTGAGTCCGTTTTCAGGTTGAATATGAAATCAGTATGCAGTAACAAGGAAATGTGTTATTATGTTCAGTGATCTGTTTTTAACATTTTGAATTAACACAGGAAATTATTTCTGGTTTTATGATGTATAAGGTGTCATAATTCCGATCCTACTGTAAATATGGATATCATCACAGTACAATTATATCGCCCCAAGTTCTATTCGTGTTATATGAGTCAATTCTATGCCTGTAGAGTTCTCAGTTAAATCTCAAGAACCGGAAGTGGACCACATGGTTATTTCGGACGGAATGTGAGTATACGCGGACCTAGTTACAACGTAACATCGACTTGAGGTCTAATTCCCAAATTTGACTCAAAAAAATCATTCTGTTGTATTTCTGTTGCCTCCATGTATTTGACATTGCATCATATAGGTATATGATGTCAAATGACATTATATACAGTATGTTGCCACGTGGCATCATACAAGTGTTTGTTTTACCCTGGTGTTATATGTTGTCATATTGCATCGCATATGCAGTCGCACGGCATCATATTTGTTGCCACGTGGCGTCATATACACACGGTCTGGATTTGCCTTTGTGTTGGGGTAACGGGATAATGATTGAAAGTGCAAGAAACAGTACACATGTCTTTAATGACTGCAACGATGGTAGGATCAGTGCCTCATATGGAATGATCATGGAATTGGGGCGGAGCTACGTCTGACATCAATTATGATCTGAGCGAACCAATATGTAGGTGTCAATCACCGCATGATCAAAGAGAGTGGATGTTTATACTCTTAAATCTATTTGTATTAAAAGGAGCTGTTCACTAATGCGTCTTTCAAATCGGAATCTTCTATATATTTTGTGTCTCGATAAAGAGACAGATTGTCTCAAACAGTTAACAATTAACTTGTACGAATTGTCGCTATTGCCTCATTTATCATACATAGTGTAAGTCAGTGATGTCACATCCCTAAATCACGGAACCACAATACATACATAGTGTAAGTCAGTGATGTCACATCCCTAAATCACGGAACCACAATACATACATAGTGTAAGTCAGTGATGTCACATCCCTAAATCACGGAACCACAATACATACATAGTGTAAGTCAGTGATGTCACATCCCTAAATCACGGAACCACAATACATACATAGTGTAAGTCAGTGATGTCACATCCCTAAATCACGGAACCACAATACATACATAGTGTAAGTCAGTGATGTCACATCCCTAAATCACGGAACCACAATACATACATAGTGTAAGTCAGTGATGTCACATCCCTAAATCACGGAACCACAATACATACAAACTAGTTTTTATCTCTAGAAGTCCTGTAGAGTGAGTTTGTCGATCGGCCGTCGACATTTTGTATGGACATTGTAATATTGGGAACGAGCATTAGGAAAACAGCGTCCACTGCGACATGTACATACCATTTGGTTAAGAAGCAGAGATTGTACTACCCATAAATAGAAACTTCATGATAGGAAATTCGAATTCATCACACTTCTCTTGGTGTTCCGGATGGATTCGTAGTAATTAAAGGACGAGGTATTATGTCCTGTCAAGCTTTTTAATTATTTAAGGGAAGGTGTCATTAACACAGCTAATCGATATGATGATTTTTTTTCTATTTAGCCCAATATGAAAAAGGTGGGGCACAGTTTGTAACCTTAGGTATGCCAACAGTCTGTTGAAAGATTTTACCGTCATACTTAACAAGGAGAGTTTACTATTGGTAATGTTGTATAGGTTTCAATAATTCATAAAGCACGCATGGATGCTTTATAACCTATTTGTTGTACTAAATCAACCGATGTTAATACGTTACTCCCAATAGGGGTCACTGTCTAGCATTCATCTGTACGTTTTAGTTTGTTTGATGGTATTTCCTCTTGGATCGCTGTGTGTTTTACCGTTTGATGGCCCTAATGACATTTTATGTGTTGACAAGCCGTTAAGATTGTAATAATAATAATGATTAAACGAAAATTATTAATGATACAAATTGATGATACAATTTATATTTAAAAGAAAGCTTGACAGATTTGTATACTACCAGTACATTGTTTTATGTTGTGAAATATTTCAAATGTTTAATTTTTACCTGTTACAACATGTTTGTTATACTTGTAGTTCCCCATTGTGGAGGAACGTGGTTCACGTACATGAAGGAATGGACTGAAGCCAAGATGGCGAACAAGCACCTTAATATCCTAACACTGTATTATGAAGATCTGGTTCGGGTAAATGAATAAATTAAAACATATATATATATAAATAAAACATATAGATTAGTACAAGTAATGCATTTTGAATGTGTTTGAGTTTTATCATACAATATGTTCATTCCGTGACGCCTAAGATCACTAGTACCTCATATTCTAATACAAGTACTTGGTTTCAGGATTTGTTTTCCAATGTCGTAAATTTAGCCAAATTCTTAGAAGTAGAACACGATGTTGTTTTCCTGAGACAAGTAGTGGAGGCTGTTTCCTTTGATAACCTAAAGTCAAAACATGCTACAGACAGTGGTATCAAGGACACGTGGATGGACTGGATCAAGGATGGCAGATTGCCAATTTACCACAAAGGTGAATTCAACCTCAAAAACGTACATACCTCGATATAACCACGGTAAAACCATTTCGTCATATCTACATTGTATGAAGCACAAATGTGTGACAATTACCGTTGGATAACGCTTTCTTTGTGTGTTTTGTACATTCAAATTTAACAAATATATTACGTTTTTGTTTATATTTCTAACTGAGATGTCATTTTCATTTGTGTCTACAACGGCCTTATTCTGAAATATAAAGAATTTCGTGTGAAAAAGTTTTTAAACAAATCCTGTAATAATTTCGTGTGAACATGTTCTTGAACAAAACATGAAATAATTTCGTGTGCTTATGTTTTTTGAACAAGACCTGTAATAATTTCGCGTGACCAAGTTTTTGAACAAAACTTGTAAAAATTTCGCGTGAACAAGTTTTTGAACAAAACTTGTAATAAAATTCCTAAGATACACTAATATCGTGTTACTTATCTAATTGTTACATCTTTTTGCACTCAATGGCCTTATTCCAAAATGTAGGACTATTCCGTAAAAGAGGAATTATTATCCACTTGAAGACCGAATTGGCGATCGGTTAATGTGGAATATATGTAATTTGCTTGTGTGATAAGTTATCTCTATTGTGCAGGTAAGCCGTAAGAATTGTGTCTGCTGCCCCAAATGCATGATCGTTGGAGGCGACTAAATTTTAAATTCAGTCTTTTCTTGCTAAACAATTATGTTTTCGCTCCTTAAAAGAAAGTCTGGATTTCTTTCCCCTGGCTGATCTTATACTAGAGTCTTTTGTAAAATTATAGTAACTACAGCGAAACCTCACTATTAAGACCACTTTGGAGACTGGACAAAAGTGGTCTTAATATAGAGATGTGGTCTTAATACTGAGGTGGATCAGACTGTCTGCCAAGAACCGTAACTCTGTTTCCATTGAAGACTATATATATATCATAACGGTACATTTAAGTATATAGGTATGTATTCCTTTGTTAGTTTTTGTCGTAATATACAAGTATATTGTCTACTCTAAACATTGAATAAAAGAAAGTAATCAATATTAAGTGTGATAGGAATTTAATGTTACAATTTTTCAACATAAATTTACAAACATATTAACATTGTCATTGTATTACACAATAAACACATTCGTAACAACATGAATGAAGTCACTAAAAAGTTTCTCAACGCTTCATTTTTCACATAAATTCGCAAACACATCAACTTTGTCAGTGTATCACTCAGTACAACACATTTGTCTTTTTACTTAAAAATTAGTCCAGTGTACACTGTTGCGAAGAGCTACGGATCTGGACAGCCTCCTTTTCCATACTCTCCCCGGCTGTATTGAGTAATTCCTGGAAGAAAACTTCTGCGAGTTCTTGGCAGCTTTCAGAGCACCTTGTAGAGATTTAGTCAGGTTAACCTCCGTCTCATCAATGTCATTATCGTGGCACTCTGGCGTACGCGACATGTCATCTTCACGATGTGTATCATTGATGCTGGACACTCCAACAGTATCACTGATGAGTGCATCCTCCCAACCATCCTTTAGTACCTTCCTAGCTGGAGCCTGGTGACTACAGTCAACATTCTCCTCTGCCGTCTTATCGATGTCACAAGGTAGACGACCTGTAGCACTTCGTAACAGGTGCCTGAGCTCTCTAAGAGGAGAGTCGTTGTCTGTCTTATCAGTAACAACATCATTTACACTGATACCACCTTTCGCAAAACATTTCACTACAGGCGGTAAACAACTTTCACGGCCTGAATAATACCTTAATCCAAAAGTCGTCTTAACAGGAAAGAAAACAAGTTTGATGTTGATCAGCTTCAGACTTGGATGAGAAGGGGCGTTGTCTTAGAATAAGAGGATGTGGCGACGAACGAGCCTCAAACGTCTACCCAAATCAGGTGCCCATTCTCTGAATAACTGTCTCGTCATCTAGGCTTTCTTGTTTGCACGCCAGGTAACAGACATTTGAATAGGCCTGATATTTTTAAGTACCGGGTATTTAAGGACTTTCCAATGACTTTCAGGTTACAACACAGAACGAGTGTGATTCTGTCCCTACTTCTTCCCTCCCTTGCATGCCTCTCCTCGAACACATAATGACTTGTCAGATAAGGACCGGCAGAAAAGGCCAGTTTCGTTCATATTGTAAATATCACAAGCATCATATCCACAGATAATGTCTGGCAGCTTGTCTTTCCATTCTGACACCACATCCTGAGAAACACTAGCACTTCCACCACAGATGTTAGCAAATGAAATGTTATGTCTCTCCCGGAATCTCTGCAACCATCCATTAGATGCCTTAAAATCAGTGTCTGTGATTCCAAGTTTCTGTGGGTAGGTAATATATCTCTTCTGCAATATTGGTCCAGGGACAGGAATGTGCTGTGCACAAAAGATTAAATAACTCACCTTGGGTTATGCAGGGCTTCTAAGATGATTAACAGCATAGTAATGTAATACGATAAACAATAGGTCGCTGTTAAAATGTACTTTTTTGTAACTCGTTCAGTATTGTGGTAGTGTTGAAACTAGTGTTAGTACATCGCTACCAGATATGGTGTCCTACTGGGTGCCTTCGGCAGTACATTGAAGGACTACCAGCTCTTTCTTATCAAGTTAGCAGGAACATCAATATCCACAGTGTTTCAGAATGCGTTCCTTTGTTTTGCAGGGAAGGTTGGTAGCTGGAAGGAGGCATTCACAGTGGCACAAAATGAAAAATTTGATGCTGTTTACAAGGAGAAAATGTCTGCTATGAACATTGATCCCGCTTTCATATTTAAATGAGGGGCTTATGCTTTATTTAATAAATCACATATATTATCCCAGTTAGCTTATCTTCACTTAAATACTCATCGTGATTTCTCGATTAACAACTACGAACAACCCTTGACCTGACCTTCCTCTATTACATCACTTTGACCTCCCTCTATTACATTACTTTGACCTCCCTCTATTACATTACTTTGACCTTCCTCTATTTCACTATTTTTCCTTCCTCTATTACATTACTTTGACCTCCCTCTATTACATTACTTTGACCTTCCTCTATTTCACTATTTTTCCTTCCTCTATTACATTACTTAGACCTTCCTCTATTACATTACTTTGACCTCCCTCTATAACATTACTTATACCTTCTTCTATTACATTACTTTGACCTTCCTCTATTACATTACTTTAACCTCCCTCTATTACATTACTTAGACCTTCCTCTATTACATTACTTTAACCTCCCTCTTTTACATTACTTTGATCTTCCTCTATTACATTACTTTGACCTTCCTTTATTACATTATTTTGACCTTCCTCTATAATATTATTTTTCCTTCCTCTATTACAATACTTTGACCTTCCTCTATTACATTACTTTGACCTCCCTCTATAACATTATTTTCCTTCCTCTATTACATTACTTTGACCTTCCTCTATTACATTACTTTGACCTTCCTCTATTTCACTATTTTCCCTTCCTCTATTACGTTATTTAGACCTTCCTCTATTACAATACTTTGACCTTCCTCTATTACATTACTTTGACCTTCCTCTATTACATTACTTTGACCTCCCTCTATCACATTACTTAGACCTTCTTCTATTACATTACTTTGACCTCCCTCTATCACATTACTTTGACCTTCCTTTATTACATTACTTTGACCTCCCTCTATCACATTACTTTGACCTTCCTCTATTACATTACGTAGACCTTCCTCTATTACATTACGTAGACCTTCCTCTATTACATTACGTAGACCTTCCTCTATTACATTACTTAGACCTTCCTCTATTACATTACTTAGACCTTCCTCTATTACATTACTTTGACCTCCCTCTATTACATTACTTTGGCCTTCCTTTATTACATTATTTAGACCTTCCTCTATTACATTACTTTGGCCTCCCTCTATTACATTACTTAGACCTCCCTCTATTACATTACATAGACCTTCCTCTATTACATTACTTTGACCTTCCTCTATTACATTACGTAGACCTTCCTCTATTACATTACGTAGACCTTCCTCTATTACATTACGTAGACCTTCCTCTATTACATTACTTAGACCTTCCTCTATTACATTACTTAGACCTCCCTCTATTACATTACTTAGACCTTCCTCTATTACATTACTTAGACCTCCCTCTATTACATTACTTAGACCTTCCTCTATTACATTACTTAGACCTCCCTCTATTACATTACTTTGACCTTCCTTTATTACATTATTTAGACCTCCCTCTATTACATTATTTAGACCTTCCTCTATTACATTACGTAGACCTTCCTCTATTACATTACTTAGACCTTCCTCTATTACATTACTTAGACCTCCCTCTATTACATTACGTAGACCTTCCTCTATCACATTACTTTGATCTTCCTCTATTACATTTCTTTGACCTCCCTCTATTACATTACTTTGACCTCCCTCTATTACATTACTTTGACCTCCCTTTATTACATTATTTAGACCTTCCTCTATTACATTACTTTGACCTCCCTTTATTACATTATTTAGACCTCCCTCTATTACATTACTTTGACCTCCCTCTATTACATTACTTTGACCTCCCTCTATTACATTACTTTGACCTCCCTTTATTACATTATTTAGACCTTCCTCTATTACATTACTTTGACCTCCCTTTATTACATTATTTAGACCTCCCTCTATTACATTACTTTGACCTCCCTCTATTACATTACTTTGACCTCCCTCTATTACATTACTTTGACCTCCCTCTATTACATTACTTTGACCTTCCTCTATTACATTACTTTGACCTCCCTCTATTACATTACTTAGACCTTCCTCTATTACATTACTTAGACCTTCCTCTATTACATTATTTAGACCTTCCTCTATTACATTACTTTGGCGGATGTCATCAGTTGATATTAAAACTGATCGTAGTGTATTTCTCTGTTTAACTTATTCTAGAGGTTTTCTTCGAAGAGAACTTAACTTATCATTATTATTATTATTTTTATCATTATTAACAACCAGATGTATCGGTATTAAATATCAATATAACATCATGTTAATAAATTTTATGTGTTATTTTCTTCACTAGTAAAGTGCGTTTTTGTCTACAAACATTAGATAAGTACCCGCCTGGAACTGCCTTGCACATCAATTATTATAGAAGAAAATATCTTGTTCATCATTATTATAAATAGGGACATGTGCATTAAATGACTCTATATAGTGAGTCGACAATTTTCAAATCATATGTTCAACTTGATCATTGAGTATCACAAACAAACTATATATATATATATATAAATATACCGGGATACTGACATCTTTATTTAACAATATATCAAAATACACCATGATATCAATATATACCGGGATATCAGTACATGTATATACAGGGATATCAGTACATGTATATACCGGGATATCAGTACATGTATATACCGGGATATCAGTACATGTATATACAGGGATATCAGTATATGTATATACCAGGATATCAGTACATGTATATACCGGATATCAGTACATGTATATAGAGGGATATCAGTATATGTATATACCGGGATATCAGTATATACCGGGCAATCAGTACATGTATATACCGGGATATCAGTACATGTATATCCCGGGATATCAGTACATGTATATACCGGGATATCAGTACATGTATATACCGGGATATCAGTACATGTATATACTGGGATATCAGTACATCTATATACGGGATATCAGTACATGTATATACCGGGATATCAGTACATTTATATACGGGATATCAGTAAATGTATATACCGGGATATCAGTACATGTATATACCGGGATATCATTACATTTATATACGGGATATCAGTACATTTACATACGGGATATCAGTACATTTATATACGGGATATCAGTAAATGTATATACCGGGATATCAGTACATGTATATACCGGGATATCAGTACATTTATATACGGGATATCAGTACATGTATATACCGGGATATCAGTACATTTATATACGGGATATCAGTACATGTATATACCGGGATATCAGTATATGTATATACCGAGATATCGGTACATATATATACCGGAATATCAGTATATGTATATACCGAGTTATCAGTACATGTATATACCGGGATATCAGTATATACCGGGATATCAGTACATGTATATACCGAGATATCAGTACATGTATATACCGGGATATCAGTATATATAGGGATATTAGTATATACCGGGATATCAGTATATACCGGGATATCAGTATATACCGGGATATCAGTAGATGTATATACCGGGATATCAGTATATACCGGTATATCAGTATATACCGGGATATCAGTATATGTATATACCGAGATATCAGTACATGTATATACCGAGATATCAGTATATACCGGGATATCAGTACATGTATATACCGAGATATCAGTATATACCGGGATATCAGTACATGTATATACCGAGATATCAGTACATGTATATACCGAGATATCAGTACATGTATATACCGGGATATCAGTACATGTATATACCGAGATATCAGTACATGTATATACCGGGATATCAGTACATGTATATACCGGGATATCAGTACATGTATATACCGAGATATCAATACATGTATATACCGGGATATCAGTACATGTATATCAGTACATGTATATACCGAGATATCAGTATATACCGGGATATCAGTACATGTATATACCGGGATATCAGTATATACCGGGATATCAGTACATGTATATACCGGGATATCAGTATATACCGGGATATCAGTACATGTATATACCGAGATATCAGTACATGTATATACCGAGATATCAGTACATGTATATACCGGGATATCAGTACATGTATATACCGAGATATCAATACATGTATATACCGGGATATCAGTATATACCGGGATATCAGTATATACCGGGATATCAGTAAATGTATATACCGGGATATCAGTACATGTATATACCGAGATATCAGTACATGTATATACCGGGATATCAGTACATGTATATACCGAGATATCAATACATGTATATACCGGGATATCAGTATATACCGGGATATCAGTATATACCGGGATATCAGTAAATGTATATACCGGGATATCAGTACATGTATATACCGGGATATCAGTACATTTATATACGGGATATCAGTACATGTATATACCGGGATATCAGTACATGTATATACCGGAATATCAGTATATGTATATACCGAGATATCGGTACATATATATACCGGAATATCAGTATATGTATATACCGAGTTATCAGTACATGTATATACCGGGATATCAGTATATATAGGGATATTAGTATATACCGGGATATCAGTATATACCGGGATATCAGTATATACCGGGATATCAGTACATGTATATACCGGGATATCAGTATATACCGGTATATCAGTATATACCGGGATATCAGTATATGTATATACCGAGATATCAGTACATGTATATACCGGGATATCAGTATATACCGGGATATCAGTACATGTATATACCGGGATATCAGTATATATAGGGATATTAGTATATACCGGGATATCAGTATATACCGCGATATCAGTATATACCGGAATATCAGTATATACCGGGATATCAGTACATGTATATACCGAGATATCAGTACATGTATATACCGGGATATCAGTATATATAGGGGTATTAGTATATACCGGGATATCAGTATATACCGGGATATCAGTATATACCGGTATATCAGTACATGTATATACCGGGATATCAGTATATACCGGGATATCAGTAGATGTATATACCGGGATATCAGTA